AGGGGTCTGCCCCCGGGCCCCGAGGCAGGGTGACGAGGCATCCCTAGGACCAGCGCACGGTGAGGGCGGGCGGGGAGGGGGCCCAGCCAGAGGGGCCCGCGGGCAGCTGGCCGCACAGGGCACTCACCCCACGGGAAGCGCTGGCTCCTGCCGAGCCGGGTGCTGCCTGGGGGCCCCGGAGCACCAGACTGGTCCTGCCGAGGTGCGGGAGGGCCCAGCTCAGCTCGGCGCTCCCAAGCCACACCTCCGCCCTCACCCAAGGGTCCCTTCCCCGGCAGGGCCCGGCCTCCCCCATCCCTCTTCACACTCCGTCAGAGGTTATTTTTACCATGTCATGCGGCCCTGCTCCGGGTGAGGACGCTGGACCGAGGGGGCCCCGGGGGTGTGAGGGACCGAGGGTAGGGTGTGTGGGGTGACTGGGAGGTGTGGAGGGGGTGCAGGGGAAGGTGAGATGGGGGTGGGGAGGTGGGCGCCTGCTCCAGGTCCCCTTGGGACCAGCTCAGCGTCCTCAGCCGGGGGTGGATGACTTCACCCCTCCTCTCTCCAGGCTGGGAATGAAATGCCAGGCGCCCCAGAGGCGTCGCCCTGCACCTCTGGGTGGCCCCTGCGGGGGCGGTTCCCCCTCCATCTCCACACCACCTGGTTTCCTCCCACACCCCAGCTTTGTGCCCGTGTGCCCCTTCTGGCTGCCTCTGACCCAGCCCACTCCTGCTCCCTCTGGTGTCCAGGGCACTCAAGGAACATGGCCACCCTCACTGCTCAGCCTCCCCTTCCGTCTCCCCAGCGGTGCTCTGGGGCCACGGCCCTCCGTCTAGGAGGTTCACCCTCCGCCCAGGCCTGCGCCCTCACTGCCGACGCTTGCTCCCAAGCCTGGCAGGCAGCCTCAGGGCTGGCAGGGGGCCACGGGGCCCAGGCAGGTGGGCTACGTGCGGTTCTGCTTCCATGGCCTGGAGAGAGCGACTGTTGGTTGATGGGCATCAGTGCTGGGCCGTGCTCGGCCGGCTGCCCTCTCCCTGTGGCACGCCCTTTGGACGCGGCCCTGAAGGCAAGGCTGGCCCATGGGGAGCACAGCGAAAGAGGTGCCCCGAGGGGCTGGATCCAGCAGGCCTGAAGCTGGCTGCTTCAGGAGTTTGTCATCACCACCCCCTTCTGCAGTCAGGAGCGGTGGTTTCCGTCACCTGAGCAGTAACTGGGGACAGCCGGCCCCACCTGTCCCGCAGAACCTGGCCTGCACAGCTGGCATTGAACGCCTATCTGAGATCAGCTGGCATGCAGCAACACGATGGTGCGTGAGGCCTGGCCCCAGGCCTCCTCCTAGCTGGAGCCGCTTTCCCTGGGGAGGGAAGGGCAGCACCTGGCTGGACTGCAGCTGTGGCCACACACACCACTGCTGCCTGGGCCGCTCAGCCCTCGGGCCTCGAGGCAGCCTGCAGGCCCCAAGGCAGCAGGCGCGCAGCTCAGAGGGCCAGCGTGGCCCACGGTGGGGCATCCAGGCGCCGAGTCAGGCGTGGTTAAACCCCGCTTCCCGTGACTCCCACAGGCGTTTGCTCCGGAGCCCTGCCTGGCCTCCCTCTGCCAGGGCCACTGCCAGCTCCCACATGGCACGGAGGCCCTGGCACCCAGGAGGTGCCTGCTGCTGTGGGCAGCAGTGTGAATGCACAGAGGCGCCCTGAGGGGGCCCACTGTCGGGGGGCCTGCCCACGGGTGGGGTCCCGGTACAGGAGACAGTTCCTCCAGAGTCAGTACAAGCTCTTTATTCGGCCCTGCAGTGGAGCTGGCCTGCAGGGCAGGGGCAGGAGCAGCTGAGGGCCAGGCCCTCAGCCCTTGGGCAGCTTGGGGCTGGCCAGGTGGGGCTGGTAGGTGTCAGGGGCCAGCAGCTGCAGGGTGAGCTCTGTGATGACAGCCGTCAGCCCCCAGACGCGGTGTGGCCCATGCAGGAAGACGGGCAGCGTGTACTGGAAGTGGCCACCCTTGCAGAAGTGAGTGTAGCCCTGGTTCTGGGCCTGCAGCAGGTGGGCCAGCGGCAGCACGAACACCTCGGCCACCTATGGGCAGGAAGCAGCGAGAGGGTAGACAGGGACTGGCCAGTGTGCCTCCTCCGCCGGTCACCCCACCCCAGCGCCCAGCTCCCTGCTCACCTCATCGGGGTTGGGCCTGAGGCTCTGGAGATCCAGTGGGCCCACACCAGCCAGCACTGGCACCACAGTGGCCTTTTGCTGGGGTGGGAGGAGGGTAGGTGTTCAGAGCGGCAGGGGAGCCTGAGAGGAAGACCCTGGCTTGCCACCCGGAGGCCTGGCAGGGAGAGCCAAGGCAGCCCCAACCCGCCTTGGGCGCGTGCCAGCCCTGCCGACTGACCCAGCCCCCATGCTCTAGGCCACTCAGGCTGTTCCCCGCTGTCCTGCTTAAAAGCTCACCCAGACCCCGTCCACCCTGAGAAGCCTCAACCCTCATCCCCCACGCTGCGCAGAGCTGGCTCCCCGGGGCCACAGCCATCCCCACCTGAGCCTGTGTCCACTGTGAAAGGGGCCTCCAGCCCCCCCCACTGTGTGAGCGCAGAAGCAGGCCCCGCAGGTGGCCAGCCGGCCGCTGGGGCTCACCTGGTTGTGCAAAGGCCGCAGGAGCCCCCACACCTGCTCCTCGGGGACAGCGAGGCCCAGCTCCTCCTGGGTCTCCCGCAGGGCCGTGTGCACCACGTCCCGGTCCGTGGGGTCGCACTTGCCACCTGGGAAGCTGAAGAGCAGGAAGTCTAGTCCTTGAGTTACTGGGGACGCCGCTGGGGAGGGGCCCGGGCAGACGGGGCTGTTGCAGAGGAAGCCCCCCAATCTGCCTCTGCCCCATGGGCAACCACGTGACCTCTCGAGACTCAGTTAACCTCCCTGGGCAATGGGTAAGGGAGAGAGGTACCCACATTTTGCGTAGGAGGGCCCCAGACACCCTAGGACACTGACCCCAGGGTGTACCCCAAGCCCGCCAGGGGCAGCGCCGGAAGCCGAGGGCCTCGCCCCACACGTTTCTAAGCGCCGGGCCGGGCGAGTCTCCCCACTGTCACCGCCAGGGGGCGAGGTGCTGCCCACTTCGAGACGGGGACACCGCTCCTAGGGGCCCGCGCCCCTCGATCCATTTTGCAACGGAGAACGCGAGGCCGGAAGCCCGCAGCCTGGAGGGAGAGGCGCTCCGGGCCGCGTACCTGACCTCGCCCTTGTGCCGCCCTCTCAGGTGGCGGGAGCGCAGCGTGTAGAGCAGCGCCGGGACCCCGCGCACCGAGCACAGCGGCACGAGC